AGAGTACGTGTACAGCTTTAATTGAACTAGTATTCGTTGTCGTCCAGATTTTTAGAAGTGTGTCTCCTCATGGGACCATCCTCATGAGGAGACAAGGGCAATGGTCGTTTTCTTTTTTTCAAATGCCTAAACTAAGTATATACATTACATTACATTACATTAGTCTGACAAGGACCTCTTGTCGCTGTGTTAAATATGACTTTTGTGACTTAAAAGAGAAGACGAAATTAAGATGATTTTGTTACATTGTTTGCCCCATAAAAAAAAACTGTGAAGACCCACTGAATGGGGTAATGAAATTTGGGCCCTATTCATTTTCTACGTATAAGACATGAGTAAATCACCTCTCAAAGCATTGTGGGATGGATAATGACTCAGGACTGACCGGATAGGGAGGGGTTGAAAGTTTATCTTAACCAACAAAATAAATCTGATGCAGTGTCTGTAAAGGAGGTAGAGCTAAGTTTTTAGCTAGTCAAAAAAGTTTTTTTCAAAATTTTTTTTTCAACCTCAAGGTATCCAAATTTGAACCAAGCAGCAGCTTTTTTAAACCTGACCACGAACATTCCTGAACTATCCTGAACCACGAAGTTTTTCGTGTCTAAATCTAACCCAGCCCGATCTCCTAAAAAAAATACGTAAAATGACCACAATGCCTTTACAGCATAATGTGGTGGTGACAGTTATTGTGTTAAAGCTACATGTTGGCACCACGAAAAACAATGTCAATAGAAGGTCAATTTGGTTCAGGCGGCAACCTTCGGTTCTGAAAAGTGAAGCTAATGCGGAAGTGCCTTAAACTTGCATTCTCTCTACTGGGCAGCAGGTGGCGACTCCTTCGGTTGCAAAAAGAAGTCTGATTGTCCAAATGACTCTACTTCTCACTTGATTTATTACTTCAGTAAAATTTGCGTCCTCCTTAGCAGTCCAAATATGATCACTTCTGTTTGCTGATTGCAACAATCCAAGAGCAACAGACAAAATCCAAGATGGCGACGGCTAAAATGACGAACTCGAGGCTTCAAAATGGCAGTGTACAAACCAATGGGTGACGTTTCGACAACTTTGTCCATTTCTTATATTACATTTTTGATCAGGATCCTTTGTAGTAGAGGACACACAAGTTCCAAGGTTTAAAATAAATAGGTAAACATGGGACTTTCACCCAGGAGACCAGTGTTTGTGTTCTGTGTGAAACCAAAAGTGAACATTGACTTATTTTAAATTATAGGTTGTTATTTCAACCCATACCATGATTTTTTTCTTTCCTTAACCTAACACACTGATCCAACCTTAAATATAAAAGCTGTTATTGCACCAAGATACAGCCTAGTTTGTCATTTAGTCTGGAAGACATGTTGGATGTGCGTACTAAGTTTATGTGAGTCTTAATGGAAATATTTGAAGACGAAAAGGTGAATGAACTGAATTTAATTTTCACCATCGGCAGTTTGGATATTAAGTAAGGCAGTCTGTGAGCCGATGTGAGCTGAACTCTTCCTCACCTTTCCACCCACATCCCCTGTATGTGAGTAGACATAAAGCCTCTGAAGTGTAATCCACTGAGACAGATCTTATTTGTGATGACAGATCATACAGTCTTTGTAGCTCGCTGAACTAGGTTTTTAGGAGTTGGACCCTGCTCATCAATATTTTGGAGGTAAGGTTTCCAGATGTGACCCCGCCCCACCTCACCCTGGTTGTCCCGTATGTCAGGTCAGAGGAGGACCCTAATGCAGGCGGGTTGAATTGAAGGGAAAGTGACCTTTGATAACAAAAGCTGGTAAAATAAAGGCAAAACCGAGGGACCAGGCAACGGAAAAAAATAAGTGCAAATGTCAACTAAACTGAAGACAAACCAGTAAGGGGACAGGAAAGCCAACGACGACCACGAGGGACAAATGCAGGACAGTGGACATCAATCAGCAAACAGAGGCAGACAAGCTGGCACTGACACAGGGACACACTGAATACACAAGGTAATCAATGATACACAGGTGTGGTGTAAAACAGGCGGGAAAAAGACGTCTGGAAGTAAGCCCAAAACACTGGACACAAGAAGCAGGGAACTTCAAAATTAAACAGGAAATAAACTAAACAAAAAGACCATGGCACTGGTTTTCAGATACCGTCCTTGCTCTAGAACTTTATAGGTTCCCAAAGTCTGAAGAGCATTAGTATTAGATGATTAACATGTAGCCTTTTGTGGCAAACTAGGGGGAAAAGCCAAGCCGACACAGCACAGGAGGCGGATCCCCAAGCTCAGGTTGGGGGAGGTGATAGAGGGAGTATACTATCCGGTGCAGGTGCTGCAGCCACTAGGCACATGGCAGTGGTCACACCTGCAGCCCATGAGCTAATTGGAAGGAGCATATATTCTTTTGTTGAGTTTGACCCTATCCCGCTTTACCCTACCCTGTTTATTAAAGGACACTTTTTGTTACATGGCTACTGTCTGAGTCACCTGTTTTATCGCTGAATCTTGCCTCCACGTCTCCCGGGTTGCCACACTTTACACACGCTTCCGTACTCACAATGAGGTTTGGTTGTATTGCAGCTAAAAGGAAGAGTTGCTCATCCCC